GGGGGGGGGGGTTTCTTAGATTTTTCTTTTTTGTTAAGCTGCAACATCCATGGTTTAGCACAAAAACATTTCATCAAGTGAACAATAATAAACTGAAAATTAAAGAAATAAACACTCAAAATACTTTCCACTGGAAACACATTATGATGGTAGAGGGTTTTGTTTACTATCTTACTGCAATTTTCTTACATGTTACTAGCCCACCTACCCTATGTTTCCCATAAGCACGCAGATGTGAATGGAAGTTTTTATGATGAAATAAATGAAAAGTTTGTTTACTGCAGAGAATCATTTCACAAGGCAGCCAAACTGGGTTCAGAGAACAAAATTATTCAAGAAATTCTTAACTTTAGAATCAGTGAACCTTAAGCTGTTTCTCTGTGACACCGCCAGCCTCCAAGAGAAACTGACAAATGCTTTTTCTTTCGTCACCTTAAAGCAGAATAACTTCTCCGTATTCGGGATGTTCAATCACAGTATCATCAACAGGCAAAGGGTCTGAGCCTTGAGCCTGATGCCCCTGAGGCCACCAACCTCTACACTTCTTCCACTTTGGGGGAGTCACACTTTGGTCCAACTGCTGTGAAAGCCTCCCACCTGATAAAGAAAATTTCAACTCTTCATGCTGTGGGCTCTGCTCCTGGGCTCTCAGGGAAGTTATATTTTTTTTGTTAATTTACTTATATTCAAGTTAGTTAACATATAGTGTAATAATGGTTTCAGGAGTAGAATTCAGTGATTCCTCACTTGCATATAACCCTGTGCTTATCCCGACAAGTGCCCTCCTTAATGCCCATCACCCATTTAGTCCATCCCCCACCCACCTCCCCTCCAGCAGCCCTCAGTTTGTTCTCTGTAGTTAAAAGAGTCTCTTATGGTTTGCCTTCCTGTTTTTAACTTTCACCAAAGTGAGAATGATTTAACCAAACTTCAAAACAGGGGCACTATTTCTGCTGCGATCACACACTATGCGTCTGCTTCATTAGTAAATAACCTAAAAGAAACATTTCTAGAGATAAGAATAAGAATCCCCCTGAGTTCCCATGTCTCTGATGCCCGCAACCTTGTACATACTAAAACATAAGATAAAGTTTGTAATTTTCTGAAATGTCTTTTGTCATGGTGAATTGTAACCCTTGATGTAAACAACATATATATAACCCTGCATCAAACATTCTCATTCTTTCTCCAGAGCACTCTCCTCTTCGTGAGGACTATTTATCCAGAGCAGCTGTCCTCACTTGCGCCCACATAAAACTCTTTTCCTTTTTTTTAAAAAACCATTTTTTATGTATTTATTTTGAGGGGGGAGGGGCAGAGAGAGAGAGAGACTCCCAAGCAGGCTCTGCACTGTCAGTACAGAGCCCAATATGGGACTCGATCTCACAACTGTGAGATCATGAGCTGGCTCAGTCAGATGCTTAACCAACTGAGCCACCCAGGCACCCCTCTTCTTCTTCTTCTTCTTCTTCTTCTTCTTCTTCTTCTTCTTCTTCTTCTTCTTCTAGAAACTAAAAGTTTTGTTCATTTTGCTTTAACACACACCACCTGGCCTCTCTCCCCTCCCCTCCAGGACACCTGGGGTAGATCATGTATTTACTGACATTGGGCTTTCTCAAAAGACAAGAAGAAAGGCTGTTTATCCAAGAATCCTGCAAATATCCTCGAGGTAGGAACCAGGAACTACAAAGGGATGAGCTGCCTTCTACAAACAGAGTGGGGGCGAGGGTGGGGGGTGGGGGGAACACAGAAAGCATGAAACAAATGAATATCTCACTAAATATCCTGCCCCAGTGCTTTGCTCTCACCTACCACAAGACCACATCAGTGAACAGCTAAAAGCGTGTCATAATTTTAGTCTTCTTATCTACACTTAGATTCTATCTACTCAGGGAAGGGTGAGAGGAAGGAAGCACCACCCTGGACTCGGGCTCAGAAACGGAGAGGGCTCTAACACCAGCAACACCAGCAACATAACAGCAGCTGGCATTGTGCACCAGGTTGTTTCACACGTTTTAGCCTTTAATCCTCACAACGGCCTTAGGCAGTCATCGCTGTAGATCCAAAGTCCTTATTCAAAGCCTCTGGAGCAAGCCCCGGTTTCAGAATTCAGAGATTTTTGGATTTCAGAAAGATGATATAGTAATGTATTACAAAGTGTGTAATTTCTGCAACATAACTCCCCAAGAAGGTCTGAAGCAGGGCGCCTGGGTGGCTCAGTCGGTTAAGTGTACAACTCTTGATTTCAACTCAGGTGATGACCTCACAGTTTGTGAGTTCTAGCCCAGCATCTGGCTCTGCACTGGCAGCGTGGAGCTTGCTTGGGATTTTCCCTCTTCCTCTCTCTGCCCCTCCTCCCGTTGTGTTCTCTCTCTCTCTCTCTCTCTCTCTCTCTCAAAATTAAATAAACATGAAGAAGGAGGAGGAGAAGGAGGAGGGGGAGGAGGAGGAAGAGAAGGTGGTGTGAACGCGGATCTCCCGCAAACTGAAAGGCTTTTGCTCCTCAGAACTTTCTGGGTTTTACAGATAAAGAGAATGTGGCACAGCAAGATGAAGTAACTTGTCCAAGGTCACACAGCTAAGAAGTAGCAGGGGTGCTCAATGCTTCAAAGGCCCCTTTCTTCATTGCTGAGAAAACCACCTCGACCACTTTCTCTACCAGAAACTCAACTCTAACCTCCCTACTCCCCAGCCGAGTGCAGCCTGTGTACGACCTTCCTCCCGCACCTCCCCGCCCCCAAATTCTCGAATACTCCTTTTATCTCACCTTAATATGGTTTAAAATAGTAGAAAGAAACCCAAAGGGAGTGTGACTCACCCCAGGCACCCCTAACAGACGCAGGAGGGACACTCGGGAATTGCGTGTGGGGGCGGGTACTGACACGCTACCCCTCTGCCCAGTTCTGGAGGTTAACTCAAGGGTGATTGATGTCAAAGATCCGGCAGGCGGAGCCTGACGAGCTGGCGGTCTAGAAAGTGAAACAGAATTCTTCCGAGATGCCAGGAGAGGGCGCGTCTGCCTTTTCCCGTTAGGATTAGGATTCCCCGCCCCCATTTCCTTCCAACCAGTAGGCAGTTTGGACTCACAACCACATGCTGCCGTATTCCTGCTGGGCAGCGTCAGCCTTTTCATTGCTACTTGCTCTTCCCCCGTATGCAGTCTTTTGTTTTGTTTTGTTTTTGTCTTGGTTAGGGGGTAGGGTTAGGGTTAGTGCCTGATATTTTGCAGTTCAGAGAATAAAACCTCAGACTTCTTCTGGGGTCAAGAGTTACAGATTAGGGTATATGTCTGGTATTTTAAGTCCTTTCTGATCTTTGGCACAAACCTGCTCTCAGACCCTCCCCTTTCCCTTCCTCCCCCTCTCCCATTTCTGTTTTCTTGTCTGGCATAGGGGTCCCGTTGCGGGGTCACCGGCTGCACCGCCTTGACCTCGCTATCAGCTGCCTTCGGGGTCTTGCGTCTGCGTCCTTGCTCAACCCTTCTTTCGGCGCTTAGGTTGCAAATTATTGTGGTCCTTCCTCCTTCCTCGTCTTGTTTCCTCCCTTTTAATTCTATCTAATCCGGAGGTATCTTCCCTCCTCCGGTACAGTAAATCAATACTTCTACTTCCCCAAACAGTCCAGGTCATCCAGTAATCCCACCTGCCTTGGCACACCTGATTCATCCAGGCGTCAACAGCTGGCCTCCTCCCTGGGAACAAAGGGCCCAAGAAGCACCCTGCAGGCTTTGTGTCTTAATTAAAGGTCTATTTTAAGGGCAAAGCCGGATGGAAAGTCAAGCATGCTCAGTTAACTATATCTAGATGTAAAGCTTTTAAATAGAGATCGAGGCTTCCATCCAAGGATGCCTGGGATCGTCCTCCTTTTTCGGTCGAGCCCCTGCGACTCCAGCGCAGAAGACTGCCCCCACACACTTCCTTTAATTTGTTTAAATGAGCGCCGCGGGTCACCGCAGTCCACTGACGAGGGTAACCCTCATTTCCCGGGGCGGGGGCCTCGACCTACGCGAGCTGTTGGGCTCTGACTCTGCCCACGGGGAACGCGCGCTGGGGAGAGGAGGGGCGTGGCCTGTGGGGGGGGGCGCGGCGGCGGGGGGCGGGGATTCGGGGGCGGGGCCCGGGAAATTCCCGGCGGAGGCGCGGAGGCCAGCGCGGCGGTCAGCTGAGCTGCGCTGGGCGGTGTCGCGAGGCAGCAAGTCGGCCTGAGGCTCCCCGAGCGCCCGCCGCCGCCCCCGGCCGGTGCCCCGGTCGGCGTCTGCATCCGGGTCCGGAGCCCTCCCCCTGCGGGCACGATGCCGAGGAAGGAGTGACCCCGAGAGAGTCCGGAGCGCCGGCGCTGGGTGAGTGGGGGCAGGGGGCGGGCAGGGGCTCGGCGAGGCGGCGACCCCCTTTCCGCCCTGGAAGCTGTTTCCGCGGCCCCCTTCCGTGCGACCCCGAGCCTGTGGGGGTGTGGGTGGCGAGGGGTGGGGCGTCCCCTCTCCTGGGAGGGTTTCCAGGCCTGGGCGGAACCTGACCTGGTGGGAAAGGGCTGCGGGGCGGCCATCGCAAAGCGCCCTCCCCCTTTTTTTACCGGCCCGGCTGGCCGCAGGTGACTTCCTCTGTAGGTCACGGAGATGGTTTAAGGATGACATCCTCCCGCAGGTTGGGAATGATCAGCCAGCCAGTTCCTCAATATATGGGAAGCGGTTAAAGGTACACCTTTGAGAAACAAAAACTAACCTAGCTTTATGAGATAGCCCAGGAACACTAAGGAACAAGTGACCTGTCTCTAAGGCAGTGGGACTTCTGAACAGCCGTTGTGTCCAGGAGAGCATGTGTGTATGTTATGCGTTTGTGTGTATAAACACACATAGCTATGAATACTAGTTGAGGCTGAGAACCCCAAAGAATAGTTCTTACTGTCGGAAAAGCATAAGCTGGAGGAAGAGTGAAACACTGCAAAGAGAAAACGAAACCCAGATTCTGGTCTGGCGTCCTTTCCCGGGAAAACTGTTGTATGGAAATGTATGCCACAGAACTTGTTGAAGGATGAAATGGAAAATAGAGCCGTAGACCAGTAAGGTGGTGCTAGGACCTGAAAAGCCTCAGATCTGGTTAAGCAAGGCAGCACTATTAACAGGAGAACCACC